GAGATTTACATCACTACCACGTGATGAGTCTGGAGGTACTACTCACAACCCTCATGCTGATCAGGATATGAATTTTGGTTTTCTTGATATGAAATGGGTTAATAGAAATGTAAACTACACTAACTAGTAAGAATATCACGCTAATAACTGATACGAAAACCGAAGATTGGTAAAAATCATAAAATAACTAATTGAGCATTTAATTTAAATTCATTTAACATCAAACCTTTTATCCTATATTTACCGTTATGAGTTTTTCAAAATCAACCTATAAGAACAAATACTCATATAACATTTTAATTTCACATACAAGTGAACAAGAACGACAATTCTCCTTTTTACCGACTTATTGGGACCTCTGGGGTTCCATAGGAATATTCCCTTACTCGTGAACTCAATATCTAGATTTGTCAATTAATCTGGCTGTCCCCTACCCTGTCTAATAATGGACATCAAACAAATCATTGCCTCGATACCCCGTCTGGTATGAAGGTGAAACATATCTTTCAAACCCTTTCGGTATGGGACCTACCAGTCTCGTCCGACTGAGGTAATGTTCAAAGTAGGATTTTCTATGTATCAGGTCTGTTCACCCTTTCCTAGGGTACCCAGTAAGCTTTTCTTACATAGATTTAAAGCATAAACCAATTTCCAATTACATACTAATAACTTATTTTTACAGATCAATAGTAAATCATGCATATAGGCGATACGTACATCAGGAGACACAATTGAAACATTTATTACAAAATGAACCAACAAATGGAGAATATGCAGTGAGATAAACCAAATAACCAAGAAAGCAATTAACTATATCAATTTAATTCACACAATGTAATGATAAGCATTTTAAGCCATACAGGAAAAATAAACAGTAAACCAGAGCAAATATAAACTGACTGGTTCCGATTCCATTAGTGACCTGTAATTATTCTTAGAATTTTTTAATTTTCATAATATATAATATTATCAATTATTAAGTTTCAATTTACATAATAGAGAATAAGGTGATGGATTCTAGCCCCGGATTGGTATTCAAAATATCGTACTGTCTACTGCACCTTTTAGCGGTCTCCAGGTTTCATGAATTTTTTCTGTAAAAATTAAAACACTCGTCAAGTATCCAAAAATACCTCGAAAGGCCAGAATAAGCATTTTAAAAATTCTTCTAGAAAATTTTAGGGTTTCGGCACAGTGCCGCTTCCGTGCTCCAGCGCCGACTCCACCGCCTATGGTAGTGGTTTGCCTCAGCCTGATCGATTTCGGCCATTTTTTTCCAGTTTTGGCTAGTTTTACTCGTAAACTTGCGAAAAAAAGGGTTAACAAGCCTCGGTTGGCTGAAAATGATAAAAAAATTGAAACTTACCAGTGGGGGGTCCTCGGGTGCAGCGACTCCACCGATTCTCCTTCACGGCTGGGGTTCTTATTCGGCTAACCTGTACCAGAAAAGGACGTTGGATCGGTGGATAAAAAATTACGTGAAATAGGAAACGAGAAAGGGGTCATCAGAGAGGGCATTGAGTTTTGGTTGCGGCAGCTCGACCGAGATTTGTCTGTAGTTTTCGGCTCTCCTATCAACCGTTTGGCTCAGATTTGGGCATAGGGAGACTCAAGATCAAATTCCGAGCAGGAATGAGGAAAACATTACCTGTTTTGGCATCAACGATGGCTTTGCTATGGCGGCAACAGTGGTCAGTTTCTTTTCTGGTTGCCATTCTTCCTTTTCTCCGGCGAGGACTGGTGCGGTTAGGGTTAGTGTTCCCTATAACGTGATGTTTAATTACCCTCTCTGAGTTAATATGGGTCGTCCGTGCAGAGACACTTGGTCCTCTCCGGTTTATTGGATCCTTCTTATTCGAAAAATAAATTTAAGCCGCATGATCGGATTGGATCGGACTGTTAGATCGCGCTTGAAGAGGAAACATATCTGAGTCGTCTGTGCGCACGGAATGTGATCTGAACCGTCGAATCACCTAGGCATGCGGATTGCCTGCGTAGCCTCCCGCATGGAGCCGATGTCAGCTTCTCCGCCATACGGCATGTTCTGGTTCATCGTGGCTGCTGATGTGGTCGTCACACGTGGCCGTATTTTCTCTTTTTACGATTTCAATCCTCTATTTTTAAATTTTCTTCCAAAAACACCCCATTTATTCATAATTTCACCCATTTTTTCTAAAATTATTTTTAGTTTTGTCCCTAATTCATTTTTTAAAAAATTTAATAAAAACTAAATTAAATTAAAATTTATTCATATTTATATATATTATATAAGTTAAAAAAATTTATCCCGGGTTCGAGTATTACAACTCTCCACCCCTTAAGAAAAAATTTAGTCCATCAAATTTGTCACCCTCTCACTAGTCAAACAGTTAGAGGTACTGGGCTCTAAATCCAATTCTAGTTCCCAAGTGGCCTCTTTCTTTGCGTGATTCTATTATATAATCTTGACAAAGGAAATTTTCTTGTTCCGAAGTACTATATTCTTCCGGTCCACAATGCCTACCGGTATCTCCTCATAGAATAGATCATATTGGAGTGAAAAGGGCTCGTGAGACAGGATATGCGATGGGTCCGGATTATACTTGCGTAACATAAATACATGAAATACATTATGGACTCTAAATAGCTCTGGAGGTAGTGCTACTTTGTAGGCGAACGTACCAATCATGTCCATGATTTAAAACGGTTCAATAAATCGGGGATTTAATTTATCCCTCTTTCTAAACC